GCAAAAAGCTATCAAAGACAACAGAAATTTCATGTTAATTGCATTTGCCGTATTAACTGTAACTGTATAAACAGAACATTCTGACACACATTTATCCTTTCCTAATGAGAAATAAAAAGAAATGATAGTTTTCTCGTTTTTACTATTATATATATATATATATATATATATATATATATATATATATATATATATATATATATATATGTGTGTGTGTGTGTGTGTTTTGTGTGTGTGCGTGCGTGTCTGAAAATTCAAATAATATGTATAAAAGGAAAACTAATCTTTGTGTAAAAATTCCGATATAAGTAAAATAAATCTCTAAAGACCATATTATATTTTTGTTGTTGCATGCCTCGTTTCTATAGGACTTCATCGGATTACAGTAATGTTTCTGCTGATATATGCGCGTGAATGGGAGAAGGGATATAGAAATGCAATCCTTGTTTATATATATATATATATATATATATATATATATATATATATATATATAGGAAACTAAAAATGTTGGTATGTTGGAATAAAAAAAAAATATAATGTTGCTACGGATCTAGTTTCGCGCTGAAATTACCAAAGTAGAAAGCTCACCAAAGAAAAATAACGTTGAATATATCTATAGAAAATGCAAGGGGACTCTATGTTTCATTGCAAGGTAAAGCAACTGAAGCAGATTCGCAAGGTCGGGATCGATAACATTTCAGATTCTTCTTTGGATTCTGTCAAGAATTTCTAGATACATATAAAAATCACTCTACCAAATGTGGCAGCAATATTCAATGTCCGAATGAATTGTAGACTTGTGAAAGAGTAGGAATCTGGCGATAAAAATGGCGTCGAGCGAGTAGCAACCCTTGCCATTGTTTCAATTTAATCGAAAACTTGAGGAGGTGCAATGAATAACTTTTCAGTAGGTTAGCCTCAGCCATGCTGATTTAAGTCAGAAGACGTTCATTTAAAACATTCAGAGAGAGCGATTAATTTTTGAAGTGTTTAAAATTTAAAAAAAAAAATCTAAGCCAATAAAAATTTGAATGTGTTACTTCAGGAAACCAGTTTCGTTTATATGAGTGCTTGTTGTCCTTCTGGGTAAATAAAAACATTATTCATATGAAGGAGAGAGATTTACATGAAGAATAAAGAAAGGAGTAAATTCGTTTTAAAAATTACTTTGAAGCGTTAAATCTAACACGGGATTTTTAAGCAATATAGATGAATATTGCAATATAGATTAATATTGCAAGTAATGTGTAGCTTGGATTGAGGAATCGGAGAGCCGATTTCGAATTTTAGTCGAATCCGTTACATTCACTTATGTTCTAGAAAGGTATGAATCCTCTTCTTCTCCCCACATCTATGGGTAAATAGAAAGACAGACCGGGTTGTATAGCCATGAATGGCAACTGGTCTACCGCAGAAAGAAGTGAGAACCTACTACGGGGAAAAAAATCTGCCTCGTCAGTCATGTATTGAAAGCTACATGATCGCCTAAGCGTGTATCACTCATGACATATAACTGACCGGAGGCCAAATATAAATTACAATAATTAATATCACTTGAACGCCATCATGATTTAATGGCAATACATTAAGAACTTTCTACGTATAATTAGATTAATGTCATAGACAGTGTTTCTTTTTTGGCGAGGATACATTTTGTTGAAAAGTAAAGAGGCCAAGCTGTGAGCTAAGAACTGAAGATATCAAATTCAAACAAGTACCACAGTGCAAATGTTTAGGATGTGCATTATTTTCATTATTCGGACTATTGTCCTCATCTTTGTTGCCATATTTATTACAACGTTTCGGCCGTTGGACGCTCCGGCCTTCTTCAGTTGGTTGGAATGTCTAACTGAACCCTTTATTTCGCTCACTGGGGTAGACTGTTCTAGTTCCACGTGCCATGTTTTAATGGATGTCAGTTATCAGTTATCTCCTGTTAGTTTCCCCTCTCCAAGTTCTCCACTTCCTTAACCGGGTTTTGATCGAAGTAACGGCTTTATCCACTGTGCCATGTGTCATTGACAGATACATAGGATGTGATTTAACAGTAACCCGAAAATGTTGTCCATGAAATACGAATGTGAATTGAAATGGCAAAAGTGCCTTCCAGAAGTTAAGCAAAGTATTATGAAAGAGGAAAGTTAATCAGAAAGAAATAAAACAGTGCTAAACTGTTATGTAATAACGTCATAATTCCGTGCAAATGTACATACTGAACTCGAATTAACAATTAAATTATAAAGAAACCTACCGTTTTGGAGTTATCGACCCCCCACCAAAAAAAAAACAAACAAAAAAAGGGGACTTCGTGTTGATCATTCGTCCCCCATTACTGTCACAGTGTTCAGTAATTCAATGCTGATTACTTCCGCTGGCGTAATCAGAATTTTTCGCCTATTTACTACTTTTACAGATTTTCGGTGCAGAAAATCACTACGTACTACTGTAAAGAAATGTAACTTTCTTTTCTGTTTTTTTGGGGGGTAAGTGTAGGTTTATTTATAACAAAAAAATAAATTAAATAATACAATAGAACCTGTTTTTCCGTGTTGAATAGCAATGACAAATTAAAAGAACAAATCAAACAATAGAATAATGCTTTTTTTTAAAATTAAAAGCAGAAAAATTGAAAAAAAATGCATTAAATAATACAATAAACCCTTATTTCGTCTCTAGCATTTTTTTTTGTAATTTTACTTTATATATACTCATGCTCTTTACAAAGTGTTATGTCTATGGGTTAAGTTTAGTGTTAGGTTTTAGAGTTAGGAGCGGTTTGGTTGGGTTTCTTTCTGTGTAGAAAATGGTACAAAAAACATTAAATAATACAATAAACCGGGTTAACTTCAGAATTAGGTGTTAGTGTTAGGGATGGGATTTTCTTTCTGTGTAGAAAAGGGGACAAATTAAAAATAAAATTAAATAATACAATCAACCCTTCTACTTTACCAAGTTTGTGCAGTGATTTTTGTTTTATTTTCAATTTTAAAATATAAAAAATGCTTTATTTTTATTATCTAATTTGCTCTTTAATTTGCCATTGCTATTCTACACAGAAAAAAGGTTTTATTGTATTATTTAATTTGTTTTTGTTTAAAGTTTCCTGTTCTAAGACTACACTTATCAAAAAGAAAAAATATAATAATGCGTAGTGATTTCAAAAAAAGATATAGCTGTAAAAGAAGTAAATAGGCCAAATTTTATGATTGCGCCACCGGAAGTCGTGAATACTAGTCAGGACGGAATGTATGAAAACAATGCCTGTAATGCAGGACGAATTACAAACAAGAAGTCCGATTTTTTCTTGTCGATAACTCGAAAACGGTAGATGGCTTCATAATTTAATTGTTAATTCGAGTTCAGCATGTACATTTATATGGAATTATGACGATTTAGGAAAATGTTAAAAGATAATTAACGCGGGCGTTAAAAAGCAAATTTACCTTTTGTCTTTTCGTAATCTCACCTAATCCCTGTTCTGCTAATCATTTAAATAAGCTCATTTTATAGGTTTACTTTATGCCTTTTGCCTTCACTATCTTTCTGATGGTACACGTGTCCTTGTTTTTGGCATATTCTCTGAAACGTCCTCGTTGCTCAAATGTTCAGTCCATTGTATTCTCAGCATCCTTCTGTAGAACAACAGTTCTTCTCTGTCTCAGGTCTTTGTAATGAGATTTCCCAGCACTACCGGCTACATTCATAATAGTAAAAGTATACTTTTCTTCGTTTCTAATAAGGATTTACTGTATTTTTTAATATTTGCTGAATTGTTTATAGTGAGAGCCAGCGTTTTGTGATATTCTCCAACCTTTCGATCTCCAGATCCAATAACGACATGACAGTTTTGCAGATAGTGTCGTCCTCACTTTCTGTTGGCCACTCCCCGCCCTCTGAAAACAGCTCTTTGATGTAACGATTTATATGAACCAGAGATGTAACTAGGCGAAGAGCTAGTATATCTGGAAAGTGTTTGACTATAGACATAACTGGGTGAGAATAAAGGACTGTATAAATGTCTAGGAAAGATGCTATATTTATTGGCTAAAATTCTCAATATCAGTTATAGAGACTATGTAAATATATGTGGACATTGAAATTAACACCCACAGACGACAGTCTGTTTCATGCTAAATGTAATCATGAATCGTATGAATCCATTTCCCCGTCATCAAGACAGACTGTGTCCTATAGCCTTAGTTAGCAAACGATCTACCGCAGAAAGAAACGTCAACCTATTGCGGTATTGCCTTTGAAGAAAAATTTTTTTACCTTTGAAGAAAATTTGTTTACATTTAAAAAATATATATTTGCATTTAAAAATATTTGTTTACATTCATAGAAATTAAGTTTACATTTAAAGAAAATTAGTTTACATTTAAAGAATATTTATTTACACTTAAAGAAAATCTGTTAACATTTTTAAAAAATTGTTCCATTCAAAGAATATTTATTTATATGTAATGGACATCTATTTTACATGTAAAAGAAATCTGTTTACATTTAAATAAACAAGCGCATTATCATAGTTAGTTTTCCTATCTTTCCCTTTCGTTTCAGTTGTGTACATATGCAATAAATTTTATTAATACATGCATATAATTGCCTATGGTTTTAAATTTCTTGTTTTGTCTTACGTATTCACATTACTACTGTACTGATGCGGCATTCACCCTGGGCGGAGTGAGCCGGCTTCTTCCTGTTATGAGAAGAAGATTCTTGGGATAAATTACAGAAGTAGGGTACCCAGGCCTACTCGGATAACGTTCTTGCTTGCCGCGGGATTCCCACAGACGCAGAGACAGGAACGACCAGAAGCCGCCGGTTACCGATGCAGACGCTCCTTGGATTTTCACCAGAGCCCTTGTCAGCCGGCGTGTGTGTCAGACCTGTCCGCCTTGGGTGGCCCTACCAGGAACGAAGTTCCGGGCGGCATAGCTCTGACACTACCGTTTACACCCCCCACCGACTGTGAGGTAAGGGTTGGACTTTGGGGGCTTACAGTACCAGGTGTTCCCAAGCGGTCCCCCATCTAAGTACTGACCTGGCTCTACGCTGCTTAATCGTACGAGAACCGGTGTTTCAGCGTGATTTGACCGTAAGCTTATTCACAATACGTCCAGCACAATGATCCGATGCATTTTGGAAGAAGAAATAGAGACTCGGATTTTCGAATCAGTCGTTTTCGTTATATTTCACTTATGTGTCAATATCCTTGCGAAACGATATTATGATTGGATCTCTTTTGACTTCGGCTATGGTTAAATAATCTCACGAACACAGAAATGGGAAAGCGTGGTAAGTGTAGATGAATTGGAAAGACTGTATCCTGTATAGCCTTCGATGGTAACCAGTTTAAGAGCAGTACGATTCTGAATTCAAACCCTCTTACTATGGGTGAAAGAGTTTCACCTATTCCTTGATAGGCTAAGCCTGGTGGCGGGATCTTCCAACAGGAATGAGAAGGACTTGTATTTGGATGGCTTTTAGTCTAAAAAATCTCACCCCGTCTCATATTTTAAAAATAAACAAGATTTCTATTGTTAACAAATAATCCGTCTCTCTATACCATACTATTTTATCGGTTTTAAACTTAAAATTAGCAACTTCACATTTCCATAGTAAAAAATTGACCGCTTCCTATTTTCATTGTAAAAACTGACTGCATCACATTTACATAGTAAAAAATTACCACTTCCTATTTTCATAGTAAAAAATTGACGGCTTCCTATTTTCTTCGTATAAATTGACCACCTCCAATTGTCATATAAAATGTAAATTAACAGTTTCACATTTTCGTGATAAAAATTAACTGCTTCCCACTTTCATAGAAGAAATTGACTACTTCACATTTTCGTTGTAAAATAAGGATTTTGCTGTTTAAAAATTTAGCTCCTCTGATATTTTCATACAAACTCAAGAATTCTACTGTTAAAATATTTTTTTTTTTAGTTTTGAAAGTTTTCAGTTGCAAAGATTTAACAAAAAACGCTGATTTGGTCTAAAATAACAGCCTTTAGGTAATTTTAACCATAATAATTCCCCCAGAACAAACAAATGTTAATTGTTCAGACGACGCAGAAGAAAAATGTCTTTTCATAATTAGTCGTCGTCACTGACATCGAGATACTTGACCCTAGGCTCATTCAGTGAGATCTCCTCAATTGGCGGGAAGACAAGTCTCCAGCGCAGACAACCAAAGACAAAAAACCCATAATTATACAAGTGAATACAATTAGATCAGAATTAGTAAAATCACAGACATGACTGCGCAGAAAGAAATTACTGGGAATCAATTTAAGCATTCAGACTAATTACATATGGTACTTACACAACATTTCCAAGACGAGCTCAAAATCTTTCCTGGAGACGATACCCTATGAAGTATATGGTTACTGTATTTTTCTGTGTATAATAAGCCTTGAGTATAATACGACACTGTGAATCTGAAGCTAAGAACAGGGAATAAATTATATCTTTGGGTAGAAGACAAACCCGTAGTATAGCCAACCCTATCTATTTTACTTTTGGAAAAATGGTAACACATTATCTATCAAATTTCAATGTAGCACGTCTATATTTGTGAGATGAGGTATTATTTACATTATTCGGACTATTATCCTCATCTTTGTCGCCATATTTATCACAACGTTTCGGCCGTTGTACGCTCCGGCCTTCTTCAGGTGGTTGGAAATTCGAACTGAACCCTTTATTTCGCTCACTGGGATAGACTGTTCTAGTTCCACGTGCCATGTTTAATGGATGTCAGTTATCAGTTGTCTCCTGCTTAATGCTCTCTGAAAATTCTCCACTGCCTTAACCGGGTATTGAACTCACACACTTTGGGTCCTGTCACTGGATCTAACCAAAGCCTTCATCCACTGTGCCATGTGTCATTGAGGACACCTGGGTATGAATTTCTAGGAAATTATAAACCTAATGTCTTCAGCAACCATTTTTACCAGTGCTCATATTGCAATTTTACTGCTATCATTGCATTTTTTTACCAGAGCTCATATTGCAACGTTGTTGTTATCATTGCTTTTCTCTGGTACTTCTTATTACTGGTTCCCATATTGTATGTATTTCTATGCTTGGTCGGCTCAGGAGATTTTTGTGGCCTAGCATATGTGCTGATTCCTTAAGTTTACGAATTTTCCCGTGGTTTTCCTAAACTGAGATAGGCGGGTACAAGAGGTGGGAGACAACAACACTCAGAAAACAGTCAGCCTGTCTTATGTGAAGGGGTTATCAGAGAAAATACAAAGGATCTGCGGTCCATATAACATCAGAACAACCTTCAAAAGCTTGAAGACACTTCGCTGATATCTCTCCCGAGTAAGACCTCCCATAGAGGAGAACATGACTAAAGATTGTGTGTACGCTATCCCGTGCAGCTGCGGAAAGGAATATAAATGAGAGACATGCCGCCCCCTCAAGGTAAGGCTTCAAGAACACCAGAAAGCTGTAACACGAGGGGAAGTAGAAAAATCAGGCGTGGCTGACCACATATGGGGAGAGAATCGAGATCACCGCCCTTTGTGGGATCATGTTGAGATCATAGACAAGGAACACCATTGGAAAATTCGTAAACTTAAGGAATCAGCACATATGCTAGGCCACAAAAATCTCCTGAGCCGACCAAGCATAGAAATGAATACAATATGGGAACCAGTAATAAGGAGTGCCAGAGAAAAGCAATGATAACAACAAAGTTGCAATATGAGCTCTGGTAAAAACATGATATGATAACAGCAAAATTGCAATATGAGCACTGGTAAAAATGGTTGCTGAAGACATTAGGTTTATAATTTCCTAGAAATCCATACCCAGAAATCCATACCCAGATGTCCTCAAGGACACATGGCACTGTGGATAAAGGCGTTGGTTACATCCAGTGACAGGACCCAAAGAGTGTGAGTTCAATACCCGGTTAAGGCGGTGGAGAACTTTCAGAGGGGAATTAACAGGAGATAACTGATAACTGACATCAAAAACATGACACGTGGAACTAGAACAGTCTACCCCAGTGAGCGAAATAAAGGGTTCAGTTCGAAATTTCAACCACCTGAAGAAGGCAGGAGCGTACAACGGCCGAAACGTTGTGATAAATATGGCGACCAAGATGAGGACAATATTCCGAATAATGTAAATAATGTTCAATGTAGTACATATATTTATTTTAAGTTTTCACGATATTAAATAACAGAAATGAATAGGATATTTAGCTAATGTTTATGTACAGGGAAAAATGCTTTGTTGCAACATTACATGAGAGATCTTGCATATTACTTTTATTATTTTTTAAAATCAATTTCGGCGTATTTCCCTTCTTTCAAACAAAAGACGTTCAATTGCGTTGATTTTCAAAGAACAAAGATTGCTGATATTTTTGTAAACAACTGTTATCAACACCTGCCAAATTTGTGTTTTATTATCTGTTGTGCTGAATGTATTTTCAATTATCCCGTTTCAAATAAAAAGTCTCTTGATTCATAAAGTTTAGGTACCATAGCGAAGAGTTTATCATAACAATTACCATGAACGTATTTATGGAAAAGTTACAGTGAGGAAACCCCAGGCTGTGGGCAAGTGACAGGAGCCGAGCTGCCAGATCAGGACCTATAATATTGCTGATTCTTCTTTGGAACATCAAGGAGCTCCGGGTAAACTGCAGGAACACCGGACCATATATGACATCAATATTCTAATCATGGACGAATAGCAGACTTATAGATATATAAGATAGATTCTGAAGAGAAAAATTGTCTTGCACAGTGGACCGATTTTCTTAGCAGCTGATCTAGCAATGGATTCAATATAGTCTTTCTACTTCATGTCAGCTGTAAACGTTAGCTCATTAGCGCAACGAGTCACTCTCCATGAGATAGCATCAACCATGTCGTTGGAAAGCAGCGAGGAGTCTCTCAGTTGTTTAACAGAGAGAAAGTTAGTTTCGGAAGCGTTAAAATTAACAAGCAATCTTTTGCCTCTGTTAACGACTGTTTTGAGGTCGTTTTTGAGTTCTTGTTCGACTGATCAGCCTTACTATCGAGGCAGGAGTAAATGATAGTGTCATCAGCGTAGATGCCAATCTGAAAGCTGATGTCTTTGGAAAGTTTGTTAATGAATATTAAAAAGAAGCGTAGAAACAGGAATGGAGCCCTGGGAGACTCCTGTGTTAGTACGAAAAAATGTAGATGAGTGGCCGTTCAGGACAGCATTCTTTTCACGATTAGACAGAAACAATTGGAAAGATGTGTCCAAAGGTATGGTAACTTTTCCGCTTGTGGGGAAGACCTGATTGCCGGGCCCTATCTATCAAAGGTCTTCGAGATGTCTAATACTACAGCCTGGGCTTCACTGTTTTTATCAAGAACATCTTTCCGCAATTATCGTTAATACATCAGCAGCTGCCACAGAAAAACGAAAGCCGTATTGCTTGTCTGAGAAAGAGCCCCGCGATCAGAGATGAACCAATTCAGCATGGATTAGGGTCTCTATGAGTTTCCCCAAAAAGGCATAGTAGGCCAAGAGTTAGACATGTCGGACGGTTTACCAGAGTTCTGTAAAACCTGAACAACAGACGATGACATCCATCAGGCAGGAAGCAGGGGACAAGAAGACATTTATTATACAGTTTAGAGAGAGCAGAAGCTAGTCCGGGAGCACACTTCTTAATGACTATTACAGGGATACCATCGGTTCCCTATGCTTTGTAGGGATCCAGGTTAGAGATGATAGCAGAAACCATGAAAGGGTATATATGCATATCACTCAACAGAGAATCAGATCTAAGCGGAAAGTTAAGCAGGGATATTCCAGATGAGTCAAGAGTAGGGTTAGGGGGGTGTATCGACAAGCTTTCATCTTTATCGGTTGATAATAACACCTCAAATCGATTTATGAGGCATACATTAAAACATGGCTCGTAGAACTAGAACAGTCTACTCCCGTGAGAGAAATAAAGGGTTCAATTCGACATTCGAACCACCTGAAGAAGGCCGGAGCGTACAACGGCCGAAACGTTGTAATAAATATGGCGACAAAGATAAGAACGATAGTCCAAATAATGTAAATAGTGTACATAATACCTGATCTC